CACACCCACCCACCCACACCCACACCCACACCCACCACACCCACACCCCACACACCCACACCCACACCCACACCCTATAGCTGTGGGGGACTACAGGTCAATTTTGGTCCGGAAAAAATTTTCGGCGAAACATATATGGTTGGATGCAGTTTTTCACGCTGATTCCGAATATCATATTGGTTTTCTTCTAGTAGTATTCTGTGACAAAGAAAATCGCTAAAAATGTTTATTTTTCTTTGAAAAACCATCAAAAACCATGAAAAATTAGACAGTATAAGCCGTTTTTCGCATCAAGCGGAAATTTTTTTTCAAATATTTTTTTACCATTTTGTAGAGAATAAAAAGCTGCACAACATATATAAAATTCAGTCTGGGGTCTCTGAATTCTGAAGCACAACACGAATTATACTGTTTATTTGGACTGTTCAGAAATACGACCCCTTGACTCATATTTGCTCTATAAAACTTAAATTGTTAGCCATTATATTATATCAATGTAGCTCATTTTATTCAGTTTTCAATTCTCTATCTTGTTATATATACCACGAAAAATTTCAATGATTTGCTGAAACAAAAGCCAGTATATCTTTTATAGAATATTTTTTCTTATTTTTTCACGAAAAGCCTCGATAGTGCCAAAAGTTGGTATTGACTAACTTTTCATAGGAAGGGTATTAGAACGTAAAATTTTAGGGTTAGTCCGTTTAGACATTGAAGTTTCGAATGAGCAAAAAAAAATCGAAAAAAAAATTTTATCGAGTGCCTCGTATCCTCAATGCTCTCGTGGACCCTCTCTTAATGTTGTTAATATTGTAATTAAATAAAATAAAATAACCAAAAACTGTCTGCTATTTTTCTTCATGTGTCACTGTATGAATAGAGATACGAAAGAAAGCAATTTCTTGTTTAAAAGAATCGAATCAAGAGTAGGAATAGGGGTGACACTTTATCTTTACTTGATAAAGTAAAGTAAAGTTGGATTACTTTACTTTATCGGGTAAAATAAAGTTAATCTACTTTACTTTATCGAGTAAAGTAAAGTAGATCTACTTTATCCGAAAAGTAAAGTAAAGTAAAGTAAAGTAAAGTGACATATCTCTAACTTTATCGAACAAGCAAGATATAGTAAAATAAGATAAAGTAAAGCATGTAGTTGATGCTTATTCATTTATTAGTTTATTATCATACATTAATCACACTCTAATACATCAAAAATTGCATCGAATTACGGATCGGAGGCTCTGAAAAGTTAAACCTGATTTTATTACTTTGGAAGTCAGTATCGAACTCTGAATATTCTTTATAATATTCTATTCTCCATGATCACAACTTAAGTTTTGATACTTGAGATCCTCCTCAGATATCGAAAAAAAAATTTGCTGGCTGTCCAATCACAAGTCTTTATAATTCAATAGCACCAAGTGTGCAGAATACAAATATCTCATTTATTTCCATAAAGTACTCAGACAATATGAAAGATCCGAAGCACTCCCTAGCATCATGAAGATCTAGTTTTTTTCTAACAATTTCATGAAAATACCACCAAAATTCGTTTCATCGAAGTTCAAATGGATTTGAATTGACCAGAAGTTCCTATTCTAACCACACATTCACTGAAAAAAAACTTTTCATAACTAATTTTCATGAAATTTGGAGTATTCAACGGGTTAGCACAAGGATGACTTTGGCGTTAACTCACGCAATCTACCTGAAACTTTTTATAAATAGGTCAGAGATGGCATTATATAAATGATCTACTCAAGCAACTGATTTGGGTTATGGCTGAGCCATGGAAACACTAAAGTAGTAGGTATTCGTACTAATCCAACTGAGATGGCATCTCTAACTCGCACATGCTGACCTAGTTCTGTGTTTAATTCCATATATGATAGTTGTCTAAAGTCAAATGGAATTTTCCTGTTTGAGGCCTACAGAGTATTAACCAAGCAGGCGGCAAACGAGATCTGAAGGATAGAATTTTGAGCTAAAAATGCTTGTACAGATTCGAAATTTCAAGTCTAGAATGGTGTCATCAGAAAGAGTACATTTGGCTGCACCTTTGGCGAAGCAATTCGATCACTTCATCTGTAGAAACTCTAGTTTTGCAAAGCTAAAAGGTATGAAAGATATCATCAGCTCGAGATGGTATTTGCCAGTTATCAGTAGAAAAAAATCGAAGATTCAACAGTTTCTTATACTTTCTTGTCAAGAAACAAATTCTGCAAAAGATGGACTTATTTTCGACGAGATAGAACCGTATTTTAGTGAAATTTCTGGACAGAAGCTAGTTTAATATCGAGTTAGGGTGTGCTTCTGATCTTTCTTATTATCTGAGTACTCTTCGAAGGTTATATAGACAGTTGAGCCTTCAACATTTCGGCCTCGACAGTTAACCTACACATTTGGGCTCTGAACCTCTGAGTCTTCTAATATTTGAGCTTTGGACAGTTGAGTCTCTTCACTTTTGATCCTCCTGCAGTTAACTCTTGTCAAGCGAGTAACACTTCTATGTGGACTTATTTGAAATCGTTTGGATAAGTACCCTTGAAATAATTATAGGCGCGGGTCTGCAGGTATTATTAAGGCCTGGAGTAGGGATGTACAGAGACCGAGGCTGAGTCGATATTCTCGATCCCGTTCATCCTCCGTTGAGACTGGTCGAGGCTGAGATTAACCTAGACCGAGACAGATCAACCAAGACCGAGCCTCGTGGTCTCGATACGTTCCTAGCGTGCGAATGCAAGTAGGTGTCGGTGGACGTTAGTGTGAAGAGGGTGAGTGGCAGAAAGAACAACATCCACATCCACATCTACAACCCTACCCACCAGTGTTTTATCCAGGGAGTACACAAGGAGGTGGCGCTCTCACGAAAATCGAGTTCGCTCCCCGAGTCTCATGCTCATCGTGAGACGAACTATATGCTTACCCTCCTGAAAAATTTTTCGTTTCCCCGAAATTGCAAATCGATTATCTGGAGAAAAAACTTGGATAAAACACTGCTATTCACACCCACAGTTCACACTCACACTAACATCCTACACTCACAGTCCACATTCACATCGGTATTCACACCATACGACCGTTTACATCTCACACCATAGTTGTAATAAATACTTCATTTTGTTGATGGTTTAACTTAAAATGTGAAGAGACTCAAAAGGCAACAGCCTCGACCGTCAAGACATTCAAATATCAAGGGCTCTAATGTATAGACTCAACTATTGACGCTCAAATGTTGAGGGCTCAACTGTCGTGTCACTTTCTAAAAATGAATGAGATATTTGTAATCTGCACATTTGGTGCTATTGAATTATAAAGACTCGTGATTGGACACCCAGCAAATGTTTTTTTTCGATATCTGCAAGAGATCTCACGTATCAAAACTTGAGTTGTGATCATGTAGAATAGAGAATTATGAAGAATATTCAGAGTTCGATGCTGACTTCCAAAGTAATAAAATCAGGTTTAAACTTTTCGTGACCTCCGATGCGTAATTCGACGCAACTTTTGACGTATTAGGGTGTGATTAATGTGTGATAATAAACTAATAAATGAATAAGCATCAACTACATGCTTTACTTTATCTTATTTTACTATATCTCGCTTGTTCGATAAAGTTAGAGATACTTCACTTCACTTTACTTTACTTTACTTTACTTTATATTTCAGATAAAGTAGATTAACTTTACTTTACTTTACTTTAATAAAGTGAAATAAAGATAAAGTGCCACCCCTAGTTGTGATTAATGATGAAAAATTTATTTTAGTTTTGAATTGATATTATAATTAACTGAATGTATGATTTTTCAGCTCATGAAGACAGTGATACATTGTTTATGTCTATTGAATGTGTTTGACGATGTTCACAAGAAGATATAGAGGTTATATTGTCAGCAGATATATTTTATTAGAATTCAAAAAATGTTGAAAACTACAGAAAAATAAATTTAAAAAATCGCGATAATATGAGAGGACAGTGCAAATTAGTTCGATATATAAGGAAGAAAAGCTAACTAATCATTGGAACACATCAGAATAGGGAACTAGCTAGTGGAACATACGAAAACAGTGAACTAACTAATGGATAAAGTCTTTTGATTTTGATGCAGGTTGACGACAATGTCCGATTTTTTATGTCGACTTGTCGTTGTGCCATACGTCCTACAAAGAAAAAAAGAACTGAATTAATTCAAGACCATAAATACTGGAAATGATAAATTCAAAGAAGAATATACAGAGGATAGAACAACATATCAGGACATGCTCTCGACGATAATTATCATTGAAACACTATAGTGATATAGCATACCTGGTTTAAATAATCTATTCGAATATTCTTCTCACTTCGAGGAAACGATGTGAGATCATCTATAAAGGTCGTCCAGTAGAATCTCAAATTTTACGGATCCCCGTTCAAACATATTCAGGTTTTCCTAACAGCTTCCTTCTTGATAGCCAGTTTCAAGATTTTCTTACACTGTTGATGTATTCCGACGACTGAAAAGAAGGTAATATGAAATAATTGCGTTTGTTTGTGAGTACGTGTATGTCAAGGATTGAAGATCAAAGATGAAAGGTCAAATATCAAAGCGTTAAACACAAGGGGAAACGACTGACTTAAGTGACTTTTAAATCATAAAAGTAAAAAAAAATCAAGAAAGTCAAAAAACTCAAGAAGATCAAAAAAAAGTCAAAAAGTCAAGAAGATCAAAAAAAGTCAAAAAAGTCATAAAAATCATGCCTTAAGTAACATTAATAAAGAATAAAAGATAACGAATTTTTGTTCAATCTCGATGACGTATTGTCTAAAATAATTTCTTCATATTCTTTTTCGCCGGATATATACATGCAAAACAGACGAAAAAAATGTATATATATAACTCGTGGATGCTTGGCACTATTTAGTTTCAACTTTTTCATTTCATGCGTACATACTCGTTGTTACTCCTTTTATTTACGCATCATATTTTTTATTTTATATTCATATAATTTCTACATTTATGGTGTCTCGAACATTATTTGTGGATACGAAAGTAGTACTTTTTGACGTGTTCACCTACCAAGATGATGATTTTTACAATCTTATAAGTCAACTTGCTGGTCCAGATGAGGCAGCATTACTTAAGATTCAAGGTATTCGAACAGTTAATGCATTTTTACGTATACCAAATATCTTCGACGTTTTCAACATCAATGTTAAAGAAGTCAATGATATTAAAACAAAAACATGTTTTATTCTTGAAAATAATAATTATATTGTCAAATCAGGTATTAAAGACTCAATTGAATATTTACGTGATTTATTTGGAAGGAAGCAAGGTGAACTATTGAAGAATACTAATCGTAAACGGCGAACGATTTCGAATGTCTCTTCAAACACGACTGCTACACCTAATAATTCTCTTCAAACGATTACTGATACTATTCAATTTTCAACAACTACGACATCAACAATTGAAGCTATTGATCATCGCTCCTTTATTATACAGTCAATCGACGAATGGTGTTTAAAACATGCTGATGAAATTGGTATTTCTGATTTAAAATTTGTTGAAGGTACCGATTATGTAGTTACATTATCTTCTGGTTTTGCTCATATTCGTTGTGCCTGCCGTGGATCGGCTCGATTGCCAAAACAAGGAAAAAACTTTCGATTATCAAATTTTTATCGTCATTTGAAAGGGAGAAGATGTTCTATGCTTAAAGCAAAACAACAAATGCATAATATTAATAGTAATCCAAGCAACAATGTTAGTATTGATGAAGAAACATCTTCACAACGAACTACTACAGAAAATATTCCAATTTTATCTTCTGATTCTACTACATTGACTGGTTCCAAACGACGTTCATCTTTATCAGATATCAATGGGTCAAGAAAAAAGCAACAAAAGAATTAAAGTTCAATAAAAAATTTATTGATGTACATATTTATTAAATTTTTTATTTGTATTTTATGAAAATTATATTTGTTTATATTTTTGCGTTATTGTTCATTTATGAACGACTAGTGGTCATAAATTATTATTGTTCTTTTAAATTTGTTTTTTTTGTAATTATCATTATATGTTTGTTCATAGTTAGACAAAACTTTATGAATCATATTTTAATACACATGATATAATCGAAGATGATACTAAATGGAAAAAACTTTCGTGAAAAAAAAGTAGCATAATTACACAGACAATAATTTTGAAAGATAGAAAAAATTATCAGACTACAAACGAATTCGACGGCTGACTACTTAATCTATTCTTTCATTCAAGGACGGAACTGAAAAATTATCAACGAACGAAACAATTGAATGAATAGTCAGGCTGTATATCATCGTATATAAATGATACGCCACATCTATTTATTGTTACTTTTGTATTGAGCGCAAATAATAATTCTCTTTCTCTGGTTATATAACTATACTTACTGTCTAATTGTTTTTCAAATCAATATCAAGTATTATTATTCAAACGATGACACATATGCTACTACCAGACGATGTGCTGTCATATCATGATGATGTCTTCTATGATCTTGTGAGGGATAAATGTGGTATTGTTGTTGAAGAAATGTTCCAGTTGCAGAATATAAGATCTGTACAATCTTTATTACGTATCAATGATGTATTTGACTTTATACATTATGATTCTGTCGAATTAACTGCACTTAAAAGAAAGGTTGGTTTTGAACTCTCAAATGGCAAATTTCAAATTAAAGCTGGGATTCGTTTTGATGTTGATACATTTATAGAAGCTTTGCGAAATGTTAATGATAAATTATTGCAACCAATGTCGACTGATCATCAATCCGATGATCTTACAATTTCTCAAGAATTTCTTGTTAAACATCCTCTATTAAAAGCACTTGTTGAAGTCTGTTTAACGAAAGATAATAATGATAATGACAATAGTCTGTCTTTCTTGACTGTACTGATTGACAACATCATACAAAATTTGGCACGTCCAAAAAATGCATATAGCTATAACGAACAGGTGCAAAAATTTGCTATGTCTCTTTATATACTTGCAGGTCGTAATGTATACGAATTTGTTCGAATGAATATTCCTGATGCTATTCCAGCTGTTTCTATTATTCAATCGTCTTTAGACGGCGCGGAAAGTCAGATTATGGCAAGTGAATTTCGTTTCGATACACTGAAGCGCAAATTCAGTTTGAATGACAAAACTATTGCTTTTTGTGCGGAAGACTGTACTCCAGTTATTCCTACAATAACTTATAATGCTACTTCAAACACCTTCACTCCCGGACAAAAGTTTAAGTGAAATTAGTTTTTCATTATTTTTTCTCATTTCTTTTTCAGTATATTTTTTTCATATTATGAGATATGGGCACTGATTCAAATAGTGATATAGATGGTATGAGAGGCCAGCTACATGATGTATTATAGAACGAGACTCCGTCTATCTATATGGATATTTTATAAAAAAAAAAAATTTTTTTCTATGAAAAAACAGCATTAGGTACCTTTCAGTATTTTACATTTCCTAACTAAGAGATTTATGCTAAAATAAAATAAAATAATCTCAATCGATAGAGCATTTCACGCTCTATCAGTTTATAAAAAAATTTTTTCCTACAGTCGATCTTATATCTCTCAAACTTGGTTTTAGTGAGAATAGTCAACATTTTTCTCCTATCAAAACAATTAAGAAAGAACGGCTAGTTGTGTTTTGCAAAACTTTATTTCAATCAGGTGGGCATGAAAAATCAGTGATATTCGAACTTTAAACATAACATTTTGTTCAGTTTTGAATGCTCTTTCCAATGGTGTATAAAACATTGTGATAAGAGGGAGTTTGTAGGCGATAATTTCACTTTTTCCGTTCTGCTGACTATTCTCCCTAAAACCAAGTTTGAGAGATAAAGATCGACTCCAAGAAAAAATTTTTTTATAAACTGATAGAGCGTGAAATGCACTATCGATTGAGATTATTTTATTTTATTTTAGCATAAATCTCTTGATTAGGGAATACGAATTACTGAAAGGCCCCCATGCTGTTTTTTTATAGAAAAAAATTTTCTTTATTATAAAATATCCATATAGATAGACGAAGTCTTGTTCTATAATGCATCATGTAGCTGGCCTCTCATACCATCTATATCACTATTTGAATCAGTGCCCATATCTCATAATGTAAAAAAAATATACTGAAAAAGGAATGTGAAAACAATAGTGAAAAACTAATTTCACTTAAACTTTTGTCTGGGACTGTTTGTTGGTTTTTCATTGCCTCTTAGTAATGGACTTCCTGTTTCTAAATACTTTCAAACAGAATCTCTTGCTGAATTAGAACACTGGTTTTCCAGTATGGATAAATCGACGATGTTGAACGTGCACATGGTACAACCTATAATGAGCATAGGAAAATCTTCTGCTCCTTTTATTCTTTCCGCTTATGGAACTAATAACAAATATACGTCAATTGATAATATACGTCGATGGATTTGGATATTCGATCAGTGTCTGGTAAGTGATATTCGGATACTTGGTTTCTCAACGGATGCTGATCCGAAGTATCTAAGAGCTATGAAACTTGTCTTAGGCTTTTTTGCATCATTGCCTAATATGCCATTGAGTGATCGGGCTGATGCATTTGAAGTATCTATACCTGCCAATTGGCCATGGTTTTTTCTTCGACAGCAACAATTGATACTCTGCTTTCAAGATCCAAGTCATATATGCACGAAATTGAGAAATCGTTTACTATCATCCAAGGCTACCTTGGGAATTGGTAAACAACGCATTTCACTCGATATTTTATCAAAATTGATAGCTAACACCAATAAGCTGATACCTGGTTTAGTGAAGTCTGACGTCTATCCTCGTAATAGACAGAATTTCGCTTCATGTGAAAAAATTTCTAGTGATGTTGTACAATTAGCACTAGAAGTAATACCTGATTCACAAGCTATGCGCTTGCATCTGCAACTCATTCGTTCTACAATTACTGCATATATTGATGAAGCCACAAGCATCACTAACCGACTATATCATGCATGGTTTTCTGTCTTTTTGTGCCGTACATGGTGGGCTTGGTTACTCGTTAAAGCAAAATATGATTTTGATGAAACTTTTGCTTGTTACTCAAATAATGACACCTCTTCTCATGGTCAAACAAAATCAATAAAACAATTTTTTATTACAGATATATCATTTCAGCCTATTGAAATCAATACTCATCAGCTAACTTATCTCACTCTTCTTGTATTAGAAGAAAAATTACCTATAGAGGCTCTTCAAATATTTCTATTCAATTCGCAAACGTGCGAAAGCACATTTCGCTCTACTAGAGCTATGTCTGGTGCTTTTTCATCTATTGTTAATTTTTCTGTAATGTAGTTTCTCAACCGTGCTAAAAAATTATCAATTTTGCATGTTATTAAAAGCGAGAGTGATGTTAATAGCGGAGCTATTAACTCAACATCTTTAGTTTTTCCTAAGCATCGCAGAGTCTAGTAAATTAACATCATCTGCAACTGTCTCAACTATATGGCCATTGACAAAAAATGATATTCAATGAATTGTTTCTTGTGCGTTTGATGATGTTTTTGAATTACTCTTGACTCTTGGTATGGATAACGCATTAACAGAAAATAATATTCATACATTAAAAAATTTAAATAGTTTTATTTTAAACGAAATGGACGCGATGAGAAATACAATCGACGAGTCTACTCCTGAAGACATAGAATCTGATTCTGAAGCTGATGATATCTTCGATTACTATGACTCTATCGATGACAAAAGCAATGAAATTGATAACGATTATGATTCAACTATTTACGAGCTCAAAGATGTGACTGGCGATATTTTTCCTGGTGTAAGAATTTTCAATTCAATCGAAGCACTAAAGGCCTCTTTATTCACAAGCAAACGGCCTGTTGGCTTTTTACAGATGACAAGAAATCTTTATCAGCTGATCGATTGCGACGAGTCATTGGACAAAATAAGAACTCATAATTAACTGGAATTTCTTTGTATATATTATAATTGTCTATTTTTGTTTTTTTTTGTTTACTTTTGTTTTTTTTGCTAACTTAAATAAAGTTCTTTCAAAATAACTTGTATTTTTTCGATTTAATATTACTCAAGAATATTTTGATGGCAGCTTTCACTGTCAACAAATTGATAGAACGTCTAAGTGTAAAATAATATTCGAATAAAGCAACAATTACTGAATTTAAAATAGATGATTTTGATGACTTTTAAAGTCATTTAAGTCACGAAAGTCATTTTAAATCAATTAAGTCAAAAAAGTCCAAAGTCAGTCGTTTTCCTTTTGGTTAAAGATCATGCAGTACCTTCGACCAATCAGACTTTTTCAGGCTGGGTGTTCAGCCAATCAGAGTGTGGATGTAGGATGTGGGATCTGGGGTGTGAGTGTCGGTATGGGTATGGGTGTGGAAATGGATATCTATGTGAAGCTACCACGACGGCCAATCAGAACCAACCTTCCAATCGACCAATCAGAGTGCAAGAATAATTCACCATTAATAATCTATAAAATACCACAGAAAATTTCCCTAGCAACATCACCTTTTTTCAAACCACAAAATAAAAACTAATCAAGTTTTAAAAATCAATCACCAAAACTATACAAAAAAACAAAAATTCTCATCACCTTAAAAAAAAGATCATCACAAACTTATCAATGTGAAGCTAGCACGACACGACGAATTACCATGACGAGAGAAAAGTCTATTGCGCCAATGAACAACCAATCAGAAAATAGAAAAACGAAAAACATCAGATTGGAGGCAGATAATTTGGAAATGGCGACGCTTCGCAACAAAATTTTAACCCTCGAACGCTATTTCGATTTTGTCACACAAAGGATGTTTACGGGGCCAACCGGACCCGCATATGAATGAGTAAGGAAAACTCAAATTTCTGTTTGATTTGCGCTAGATATGGATTAGTTGAACACTATTGTTATGTTCTTGTCCAAATGGAGAGGATCATATAGTCCTAGCATACGACAATGTTCAAGCTTTAAAAATGCCTTTTTCAAAAGAGATTATGACATCACGTGTTAAAATATTGGGGAAGAAACTAAAGATGAGAATACATCACAAGCTAATAAATATCTTTACAAATATCATCATATATAACTGCTCACGTTAAAAAAAACAGGCATAGTTTTTCTTGTTTATTTTTATTCTTTAAATGAATGAAACCCAATAAAATCAATATCACGATTAAACTATTCTAGTTGTTCTTGTGATTTTTTTTTTCATTTGTTCATCAAGTGCTGTGTTGGTACATCATTTTTTCACATTCTTGACAAATGACTGTTGTGCTGCTATTTGAATGAGAATTGCAAACATTGTTTTGACATATATCACAACTTTGTCGAACTTTGCGACCAGGATTTACTGGGCAAAGATAACATCTTTTTTTATCTTAATAACATCATTTGTATTAACTTGAGCTAATGAAATTTCTGGTTTCAATTCATAACCAAGAGGTTGAAGTGCGAGTTTTACCTTCGATGTAAGATGAGATTGTTCACTACGACGTTGGTTATGAGGATTTGTTAAGGATTTGCTCAATTGTTCCAAGAATAGACGTCGAATGTGTTTCTTTCGGTTGTTCCATTCTGGATTTTGGCACAACCAGATTGTCATTGCATTTATTGCAGCAATGTCGATCATGTTGAAAAAGACCATCATTGACCATCTTCTACTTATTCTACGAGCTGTATAATTATTAATACATTGATCTACCACATCCACTCCAATTTTTGTTTGATTATAATCATGAATCATGACTGGAAGCTTTTTTTTCATCATCCAATATTTCAGGAAAATCATGTAATGTTGATAATAATATAACTGGTGGTTTTTTTTGTTTTGCTTGCTATGATAAGATCATAGTTTGACCAGCAAAATAAAACCAAGGTGAGTACAAGTCGTTTCGAATAATCTTCAATTCATTGGGAATGAAACAATGTTTATGATTAACAACGCCAAGTGAGGTCATTTTGCGTTCCAACAGAGCTTGGGCCAAGTGGAAATCAGAAAAAAATCGATCATAAGTAACATTACGACCTTGTTTAACCTTATTAGGTAATTGATCTACCAATCGTGAAACAACATTTGTTGCAAGATTTCGTTGGATAACATTACCTATTTTTCCAGTATATAATTCTAATGCTAATACATACCTACTATCAACATCACAAAGTACCCGGAATTTAAGTCCATATTTACTGGTTTTTTTCGGTATATATTGTACAAATGAACATCGACCTCGAAATGGTACTAGTTGTTCATCAATAGTAAGATTCTCACTTGGTATGAAATGTTGTGGTAATTGCTTCACAAAACATTCAAATATGGTTCGAATTGGTGCAAGACGATCCAGTTTATCACGCAGTTGACGATCATCGAATCTTAGAAATCGTAAAAGATCTTTGAAGCGTTCTAATGACATTGTAGCATGATATATTGGGGGGCTTTTACTAATATCCCATAATTCAGTTACTGATGTGTGACTAGCATGACCAAGACCAGCTTGAATTAACAAACTAAGGAAGGCTTCTAATTCAGTACGATCAAGTTCTTTCCATTTCTTTGATTTTGTTTGATTAGCTGCATCATTCAATTGTCTTTGGTTTCGTTGATCCATGTATCGCCTGGCATATTTGTTCGTCTGTAATACAACTTCATTTAAGATCTCATCTGTCAAGGAAAACTTGAACGCATCCATCATTGTCTGGATTACAGTAACAGGACCTGGTTTTGTCGTCATTATGTTGATGGCATGTACACGACCTTGAACTGTAGGCCGCTGTGTTGACCACGATACACCACCTTTTTCTATTGATTCAGGTTGTGCATTTATTTGTGTATCATCGTCGCTAACATGAGCATCAGATGAATCTTCTTCGTTCGAAATACATTCATCAGTGGATGTGTCGTCTGATTCAGTATCAGAAAAAGAATAATCTGGATCAGAATTTGATTCATCATCCTCAGAAATGTTATCAGTAAATTCATTAGTATTATCTGTAATAAGAATCTCTCGGATTCGCTTTAGATTTGTTTTGGTGGTCATTTTTTATCTGAAAGACTAAGAAAATTTAAAATTTTTCGTTCTTGGAGAACTGTTGAACTTTTTAGGTTTAGTTATTTTCAATAGAGACGAACCAGAATGATTGTCGTGACTAGAAGCGACAAAAGAATTGTTTCGATCAGAATATAACAAAATCTGTCAGAAAGGATGAAAAGAATGAACGTGTTACTATTGGCAGGGATGAACTAACGAATGTTTTGGAAAATTAATTCTCGAGACGAAAAATGGCAGGCCTAACAAGAATAGAAATCATTCCTATAACACCAAGGTTGTTAGCGGATCCGCTTGGAGCCACCCTTCAATTTTTTCTGTGTAAGACCTATTCACAAAACTTGATGTGCCTTTTGTGCATCGTTAGGAGGCCAACGATTAGAAAAGAGATCGCTAGAAAAAGCATAACTATTTACGAAACAGGAAATGAAAAACAGCGTTGCGGATCCGCTTGGACCCGCAAAAAGCGTTCGAGGGTTAATGAAAAGGATCGCCCCATTGCACAGATGTTTTTTTCAACTTCCTTCCGATACAGATAAAGGCAGAACCATTAGGTCTAAAGATTGGAACAATGGTTGAAAAAAGTGCAGTTGGAGTATCTCAACCTCAACTTTCTCTGTTCGTGAGCACGGGCCGAAGATAGGTTATGCACGTTTCGATGTAGAATTTAATTCTGCATCAGAAGATGTTCCTTTTATTTCTGCGCGATACTCATCAACAGAGAACCATTGAGTCCAAAGATTGGAACAATGGTTGAAAAATGTGTCGTTGGAGTGTTAAAACGCCTACTTCCTCTCTTCGTGAATATTGTCCGGAAATAAAGAGAACATCTTCTGATCTAGAATTAAATTCTGGATCGAAATGTGTATAATTTATCTTCGGGTCATGCTCACGAACAGAGAAACTTGTCGTTGAAATATTCCAACTGAGCTTTTTCAACCATTGTTGCAATCTTTGGATCCAATGGTTCTCTCTTCATGAGTATAGCCCGGGAATAAAACGAAGATGGGTGTGGCGGTAGATATGGGTGTGCGGTGTATGGGTGCGGGTGGGTGTGGGCGTTGGTATCGGTTTGCTCTTTTCTCATACGCACACCCATATCCCATACCCATCAGTTGGGAACGATGGACATTTTTAAATGCAGAACCATTTCTCACGGACATTTTTGCCAAGAATATTTACTGCGAAGGACATTTTTCCAAGGGCGAAATCCGGAGGGCACTTCTATTCACGAAGAAAATCCGAGGACATCTGGCCAAGAAAATTCTGTAGAGGACATTCACGACGTAACTCCTTCCAGGCATATCCGGCTGTCAATGACTGGGATGAGTACCCAGGTGGAATGGTACTCTTCATATACAGACCGTTCACTTGACCCAGCAATACGGACCGTAACAACATTAAAATATAGTCCTATACGGCCCTATTTTCACAGTATACCGCCCCAAATACGGTCTCGTTACTGAACCCAGTAAGGCGGGGCCATATACGGGCCTATTTTAATGATGTTACGGCCCGTATCACTGGGTCCAGTAAATGGTCGATAACGGATATTCGTTTACATCGCCCTGGGTACTAAATATGAGTAATAAAACACTCATTTATATGGTTACCGAGGTTTTCTTTCATCCTTAGGTTCATGGCAACAGGCACGCATAATTGTTGCGGCAATCCAGCTCATCATTAGAACCCTGACGTTCTACATGAATAATCTAGAATCCCTTTGAGACTATCTTTGACTTCTACCTGAAAAATGAATAATTCATAGGAAGCTTCCATTCAACTATTTTGCTCGACAAAAGGCATATATATTTGAAGTTCATTACATCATTGATGAATACATCATTGCAGAATCATTTATACAAAGATTCTATTCAACCATTCTCGTCAACGCCAAAGCATCTCTTTGAAGTTCATTACATCATACTCGAACACTTAATCGAAGAATAATTCATATCAGATTCTATTCAACTACTTTACTCAATTCAATGGCGATATGCGAACTTCATTACATGACAGAGTAGCACATGATCAACGAATAACTCATATCACACTCTATTCAACAATTTTGCTCGATTGAATTCAGATGTGTAAAGTTCATTACATCATGGAGCCACACATCATGGAAGAATAATTTATATAAACATCCTATTCAAATATTTCTCGATTCAAAGCATCTATTTGGAGTTCACTAAATCATAGAGGAACACATGACGCAAGAATAATTCATACAAAGATTCTACTCAACTATTTTCCTCAATTCAATACAGGTATTTCAAATTCATTACATCATGGAGGAACACATGATGGAAGGATAAGCCATATCAACATTCTATTCCACTAATTTCCTCGACTCAAACTATATATTTGAAATTCATTACATGATCGATGAACACATCATGAACGAATAATTCATATCAGATTCTACTCAACCATATTGCTCGATTCAAAGTACCTATCTAAAGTCAATTACATGACAGACGAACACAGGATACAAGAATAATTCATGGTAAAATTCTATTCAAACATTTTACTCGTTCCCAAGCATATATTTCAAGTTCATTGCATGATGGACGAACATATCATAGCAGAATAGTTTATACAAAGCTTCTATTCAACTACTTCTCTCCATTCCATGCAGCTATTTCAAGTTCATTACATCATGCAGCAACACCTGATGGAAGAATAATTCATACGAAGCTTCTATTCCGCTAATTTCCTCAAATCAAACTATATATTTGAAGTTTATTAAATGATACAGGAACGCATGATGGAAGAATAATTCATATCAAGATTCTATTCAACTATTTTCCTCGATTCAAAGCATCCATTTGAACTTCATTACATGATCGATAAACACATGATAGAACAAAAATTCATATCCGATTCTGTTCAACGATTCTGGTCGATTCAAAGCAGATATGTGAAGTTCATTAAATCACGGAGGAACACATGATGGAAGAATAATTCATATCAGATCATATTCAAATATTTCACTCGATTTAAACCATGCATTTCAAGTTCATTACATGATAGAGAAATACACGATGGAAGAATAATTTATACGAACTTTCTATTCAACTATTTTCCACGATTCCAACTATATATCTGAACTTCATTCTATGACCGATGAACACATCACGAAACAATAATTTATACTAAGATACTATTCAACTGTTTTGCTCGATTCCAAGCATATATTTGAAGTTCATTACATCATCCAGGAACACATTATTGAAGAATAACTTATACAAAGATTCTATTCACCTATTTTGCTCGACTTAATGAAGATACTTAAACTCCATTGCGTCATGGCGGAACACATGATGGAAAAATAATTCATACGAAGTTTCTATTCAACTATCTTGCTGGATTCAAAGCATGCGTGCGAAGTTCATTACATCATCGAGGATCAGATGATCGAAAAATAATTCATACGAGATTCTATCAAATTATTTTCCTTCATTGAAAGCAGGTATCTGAAGATCATTCCAAAATGAAGGAACACATAACGGAAGAATAATTCATTAGAAGATTCTATTTCACTATTTTACTCCATTTGAAGCAAATATTTAAACTTCATTTCATGATGGAGGACCACATGATGAAAGAATCATTTATACAAAGATTCTATTCAATTAATTTGCACGATTAGAACCATATGTTTGAAGTTTATTACATGACGGAGGAGCACATGATCGAAGAATGACTCATACTACGATTCTATTCAACTATTTTGCTCCATTGAATGCAGATATTTGAAGTTCATCATATCCTGCACGAACACATGATGGATGAAGAATTCATAAGAAGATTCTATTGAACTATTTTGCTCGATTTGAAGCATGTATTTGAAGTCCATTACATAATGGACGAAAACGTGATGGAAGACTAATTCACAGCCGATTATCTTCAACTACTTTGCTCGATTTAAAGCAAGCCTGTGAAGTTCATCACATGATCGAGGAACACATGATGAAACAATAATTCATAAAAACATTCTATTCAACTATTGCCCTCGATTCAACGCATCTATTTCAAGTTCATTACATGATAATTGAGCACATGATAGAAGAATAATTCATAGGAGATTCTATTCAACTATTTTGCTCCATTTGAAGACTATATTTGACGTGCATTACATCATAGAGGATCACATGATGGAAGAATAATTCATAGTAGATTCGATTCAACTACCCTCTTCCCCTCGTAGCCCATATTTGACCTTCATTACATGGTAAAGGAACACATGATGCAAGAATAGTTCATGCGAAGATTCTATTCCACTAAGTTCCTCGATTGAATTCGGATATGCGAAGTTCAGTACATGATGGAGCAGCAGATGATGGAAGAATAATTTATATCAACATTTTATTAAAATATTTACCGAATCAAAGCATCTAACTGAAGTTCATTAAATGATAGAGGCATACGTGATGCAAGAATAATTCATAAGAAGATTCTATTCAACTATTTTGCTCGATTCACAGCAGATATTTGAAGTTTAGCACATGGTGGAGCAAAACACGATGCAAGAATAATTTAGACAAAGATTCTATTCAACTATTTTCCTACAGTCAATGTAGGTATTTGAAGTTCATTACATTATGGACGAACACATGATGGAAGAATAATTCATACGAAGATTCTATTCCAATAATTTCCTCGATTCGAACTATATATTTGAAGTTCATTAAATGATACAGGAACACACGATTGAAGAATAATCCATATTAAGATTCTATTGAACTATTTTCCTCGATTCAAAGCATCTATTTGAAGTTCATTACATGATGGCGGAACACATGATGGAAGAATAATTCAAACGAAGATTCTACTCAACTATTTTACCCGATTCGAAGCATATATTTGAAGTTCATCACATGATGAAGGAACACATGATGGAACAATGATTAATACAAAGTTTCTATTCTACTATATTATTCAATTCACTGCAGATATTTAAAGTTCATTACATGATGGAAAAACAC